TTAAATTTCCATTTAGATTGAAATTAATCTTTCAGATTTATCTAAAGGTAACGGAGTAGTAACTTTACAAAATCTAGTGTTCAATTGTGAGATTTGCTAGGTCTCATTTAAGAAAACAAAAAAATCCATCTGATAGGCATTCCTTTTGTCCTGGAAAGCTTAATTGCAAGTTATGTGTCTAGGTACCAACCAAGAACGAGAAAATTGAAACAGGTCATAATTTGGTTGTTGATTGAAAGTTTCCTTTTCTTAAATGCTACTAGGGAAAAGGGAATTGTGTATCCTTATCTGTATTCTATCTCATTAAATATACTATAAAACACAATTTTTAAACCCTAATTAGCCCTGTTCATAGTTTTAACCAAAGTTTAATTTATTTGTAGTGAAAGAGCTTTTTGTTTGTTTTATCAGAATGAACAATCACATTACTACTGTTAGCATTTTTAGCTAGATCACTACACTTGTCAATTGTAAATCTCAGTAGTAGGATGTGACTCTGTAGTGGTTAAGTGTCCCTGGGTTCAATCTCCAGTACAGAAAAAAAAAAAAAAAAAAAAACACCCTGACTGTGTGTTTGTATCAGTGAAGGAACCCATTCTAAGTTAAAATTGACTTGCCCTTTGAAGGGGGTGGGCAAGGACTCCACACACAAAAGTGATCAATGGTAAGATTATTGACAGCATCTTATCATCTTCCATCTGAAATTTATTTATATATCAGTGGGAGATTTAAAAATAAATTTAAGGGAACATTGACTACTGTTAACCTCTTAGCCAGGGAGTACAGGTGAGAAGCCGTATAGTGCCTAAAATTTCCTTACACAGGTTTACAAAAGAATCCTGAAAATAAGATTTGTGGTTGGAAAAAAATTGCTCTTTAGAGGAGATCTCCATTTTATGATGTTTGGACACATTTTCTCATGCAGGATAGTTTTCTTTGAGGGAAGGATATTTTGGGTTTTGTTACTTTGTTTTATTTTTTGTTTTCTTCAATATTAGTTTTCTTCAGTTTTAATTTGTTAAATTTCTCCATTTTAGACAAGTCTGGCTTATCAATCCTCTTAACTGAAAGTAACATGTAAACTTTAAGTCTAGAATAAGGCAGTCCCTGGACTGATGCCACTTTCACTGTGAACCAGATTGTCATTCCTATCCAGAACCAGGCACTCATAAGTTCTGTAGCAGGCCCCCACCCTAGATCCTGCCCTAGCCCACTCTGATTGGATGAGGGATCCATGCTGGCCTCTCACCCTTCCTTCCACTTTAGCCCTGCAGGGCTGCATCCACTGTCTTTCTTAAAACCTGTTATTATCCAAAGTACAGGTATGAAGATGCGAATTGGTGTGAATATACTATGTATATGATCAGAGATATGAAAAATTGTGCTTTATATATGTAATAAGAATTGTAATGCATTCTGCTGTCATATATAAAGAAAAAAAACATAAAATAATATTTCACTAAAATGTTTAAAAAAAACTATGATGGCCTAGTTGCTAACTTGAGCCTTGCTACGTGATTGAGTTTCTCTTACTAGTAGGAGATTATCACTAGCACATGGAATTTTGACATTTGGGTTTATTAAATTGTCTTCTTTCTTCATATTATTTATACAGATGTATTTTACCATAAGCAGTTATAACTTGACAAGAAAGTTCATGTGTTTTCCACCTTTTATTTGGCTTACAACTTCTTTTAACCTGTTTACTCCTTGTTTGAAAGGATTTAGTATATAACCTATTGTGTGTATTTAGCTTAAACTTATAAATTGGATAGACTTTTATCATCTGCCCTTTGTCAGCCTTTGACTACCTTCTTTCTACAAATTCATCTGTAAACATTTGAGTACCTGCTACATGCAAATCTCTCTGTATCCTTAAAGAGTTTACTGCCTGTACTTAATATGAAATTCTCTTCAAAATTTTATATATTTCTTGGGGAGGAGGGATATTACTGGGTGTTGAACCCAGAGGCACTTTACCACTTAGCTACATCCCCAGCCTTATTATTTTTTTTTTAAAGACAGGTTTTACTAAGTTGCTTAGGACCCTGCTAAGTAAGTTTCTGAGGCTGTCCTCTCACTTGCAATCTTCCTGCCTCAGCCTCCCAAGCAACCAGGATTATAGGAATGCACTGCACTAGCTTTATATTTTAGTTGACTTTTTCCTGTCTTCTACAGCTCTTATATGCCATTCAAAGTATGAATATCAGTATGTCGGAAATAGGTAGACTACAATTTTGAATAGGATTTGTATGAGATTTTCTTTGTCTTATTGCAACATCTGTTCTGTTGATACACAGGATTTTATAAGAAGTTTTGGCTACTAATTAATTATTTGTCTTTGGGGAAAAGTATCTTAACACTAGATAATTTCACAGCATTGTAGTTTATAAATTGGGATGAAAGTATATCAATGTCCAACATACTTGAACTACCTGGAACCTTTGAACAATGAGTCATCCAAGATAACAGTTTTTTAGATTGTTTTTCTTTTTAATACTTAATAGGATTAATGTCCTATTTTCTTGACAGGAAAAGTTTTCTTTAAAAGTATTTTCCTGAAATGGAAGAAATTAGAGACCATCACGTTAAGTGAAATAAATCAAACTCAGAAGGTCAAGGGCTGTATGTTTTCTTCATATATGGAAGCTAGAGAGGAAAAAGGAAAAGAAAGGTGGGGTGGATCTCCTAAAAATCAAAGGGAAATCAGTGGAGAAAAGGGACCAAGGGATGGGAGTTGGGTAGGGAGAGGGGGAAGTCCTGGGAAGTGACATTGGCCAAATTATATTGTTATATTGTGTACATGTATGAATATGTAACAACAAATTCTATCAATATGTACAACTATAATGCACCAATAAAAATGTAGGAGAAAAAAAAGTATTTTCTTGGCCAGGCACAAAATAAAAAAAGAAAAAGGACTAGGAACCAGATATGGTGGCACAAACCTGTAATCCCAGCAGCCCAGGAGGCTGAGTCAGGAGGATCACAAGTTCCAAACCAGCCTCAGCAATTTAGCAAGGCCCTAAGCAACTCATCAAGACCTTGTCTCAAAATAAAAAGGGCTGGGAAATGTGGCTCAGTGGTTAAGCACTCCTGGGTTCAATACCTCATACTAGCACCCCCAAAAAAGTATTTTCCTAGCCGAGTGTGGTGGTACACACTTGTAATCCCTACCACCTAAGAGGCTGAGGCAGGGGAATCAGAAGTTCAAGACCAGCCTTTGCAACTTAGCAAGACCCTGTCTCAAAATAAATAAAAAGGACTGGAGATGTAGCTCAGTAGTAGAAAGCCCTGGGTTCAATCCCAGGTACCCCCCCCACAAAAAAAAGTTAAAATATTTTCCTGCTTTTATTATTTTGCAATCAGCATTTATTTGATATAGTATTAGTTATTTTTAAATATACTTCACATTACCATATTTTGTTATTTTGAAAAGATGGAATTATTTTTACTTCATATTCACATGGCAGAAAATTCAAATGGTACAAAAGCATATATAGTATAAAGTCATCCAAGTCTCCCAGCCAGTTCTCCTCACCCAAGGAAACCAGTGTTTTTTATAATCCTTACAGAGATCGAATTTTCAGATGATTAAATTTTCTGTGTTATACAAATGGTAACATATTGTACATACTTTGTATACTTTGCTATTTTACATATAACACTGTGTCTTGGACATCAGAATAAGATTTCTTACTCTTTTTTTTTTCTTTCTTTGCTGTGCTGGGGATGAGACTAAGGGCCTTGTGCACAATAGGCAAGTGCTATACCATTGAGCTGCATCTCCAGCCTGCTTTCTTATTATTTCCACAACTACATAGTATTGTGTTACAAGGCTCCTACTAATCATTTGCTGTTATGTACAATGTTTACTGAATAGACTCAGAGCATACCTTATTTTGCACATGTGCAACTCAGTTGGCATGTGTATATCATTCTAGAGGAGAAAGCCTGAATCAAGGTATGTTGAATACTGCATATTTTAAAATTCTGTTTTTCTTTAGTCTGTTAACATGTTTTTATGGTAAATCCTTAAAACATTTCAAACACTACCAAAAAGAATATAAAGTAAATCCCCTAAGCTTCAGGTTCCATTTCCCATATGTAATACTTTCTTGTCTGCCTTATGACTATCAATTTTCCTGATTTTTATTTTTTCTTGAATAAATGATTCTCTGGTATCCCCACTGTCTATGTCTGTATCAAAATTTATTCATTAAATTTCTCTTTGGTGGGCATTTAACATGTCCAGTTTTTTTTATAATAAGACAATCCTATAGTGAAAAAAAAACTGTAGATATTTTTTTTACAGATGGAAGTGTACACAATATGCTGGTACACTAGTAGATTCTTAGAAGTAGAATTGCCAAATCAAGGAATATATGCATTTTAAATTTTGATTAGTTTTGCTAATTGACCTTCAAAAAAGGTAAAACCACACAGTGTTTCCTCCAGTATAGGTTTGCTAACTCTGGATATTATCAAACTTTTTAATTTTTGCCAATTCAGTTGAAAGGGAGAAAAGGGATCGATTTTTTAATTTTAATTTCTTTTTTTTATGACTGATTTTGAGAATTTTGACATTTCTGTTTGCTGTGAATTACTGTTTGTATTCCTTACTGGTTTTTCTTCTGGCTTACTTAGTTACTCATTTTTAAGTGTACTTTCTTAATGTTAGGGAATTTGTCTGTAATTAAAAATATTTTTCCAACTTTGTCATTTTTTTACATTGTGTATAGTCTATAAATATTTGTATACAAAATTTGACACTGAAGAGATAATGAATAGAGAGTAGGAAGTGGAGAGGTGGTAAATTAGTGGAGGATTCAGATCATTCAAATGGTAAATATTTTTTTAAAAAGAAATATTTTGTGACAAAAATTACAAAGTGCTCTTACCTTCCTAGAGAAAAGAAAATATAAAAATGTACAATATTTAATTAGTTGAAGTGTAATAAATGCTGAGTATATATTTGTTTTATATATTTTTCCTTCTAGAGGTTTTGTCAGCTATGATTAGTGTGCTGTTGATATATATACTTATGGGATTCCTCTTATATGAAGCTGTGCAAAGAACTATCCATATGAACTATGAAATAAATGGAGATATAATGCTCATCACTGCTGCTGTTGGAGTTGCAATTAATATAATGTAAGCTTGGCATTTTTTCACATTAAAAACTTAGAGACTACTAGATGTGCATTCATATGGTGAAGTGATATTTTCACATATTTAAAATTATGTAGCATATTAATTTTTCTTATTAATTTTAATAAACGTTGAATATTACAAAGTCCTCTAGCTTGCTCAGGTGTACTGAGGTTTGGCTAAAAATCAGGAATTTAAGCAGGACAAAGTATTTTGTTATTTAACTTTTAGGATACTTAGGTGTTAAACTAGTTTTGGGGTTTTTTTTTTAACTGCCAGTTTTTTTCCTTACAAGCCGCAAGATTATAAGTTATACACTTAATCATTTAGACCAGAGGTCAGGAAATTTTCTCTGTAAAGGCAAGACAGTAAATATTTTAAACTTTGAGAGCTATGCAGCTTCTCTTTAGAAGCTGCAGCCCTGTGGTTTCAAAACAATAGCAATCATGTTCATTGTGTAAACAAATGAACATCGCTGTGATCTGGTAAAACAGTATTTACAACAACAGTCAAACAAGATGGTCTTCTAATCATAGTTTACCAGAGGCTGTGTAGTGGCTTCTAGTCATACTTAAAATAAAATCAAAAGACCCTACCCTGTGTATAGCTCTCCAACTCATCTCCTAGCACATTTGCTCACTTTATTCTGGTCATAATGACCATCTTTTTTCAAGTATATGGAGCACATTTTTATGTTACGATTCTTCCACCTAGAGCACTTTTCAACCATTTACTCTCTAACTTCCTTCAGGTCTCTGCTTAAATGAAATTTGAAAGAGGCCTTCTCTGACCACTTCCCCCACCCATTTTTCCATCCCCTTACAATGCTCTATATTTCTTCAAAGCATTTCACATCACCAGCTGTACATTATGTGTTTGCTTGCTTCTCTGCCTTCTCTACTAGAACATAAGCTCCGTGTGGGGATAGATATGTCTGATTCACTGTTTTGACTTAAGCACTTATTTACCTGATATAAAATAGGTTCTCAAATATTTATTAAATGAATGAGTTCCATGTTGCCTCATTTGTATCTGACAGTAACAAATATTTTTATCAATAATTGTTGGGAAAATAATAATATTTTCTTTTATTTTTAACAGAATGGGGTTTCTGTTGAACCAGTCTGGTCACCATCACTCCCATTCCCACTCCCTGCCTTCAAATTCTCCTACCACAGGTTCTGGTGGACATAGCCATGGGCAGGATAGCCTGGCAGTAAGAGCTGCATTTGTGCATGCCTTGGGAGATTTGGTACAGAGTGTTGGTGTGCTAATAGCTGCATACATCATACGATTCAAGGTAATATGATTTCTGATTTCCTATTTTGAATTGTATTTAATTTCAGCATTAAAACTAAAGATGATTTTTTTTTTATCAGTGTGCTGGACACCAGTGCCAGTTCTATTCATTTTGTATTGGTGTAAGTTTAATGGGCTATCAATAAGTATAGTTCCTTTTTGGGGGGAGGGGGGAACTGGGGATTGAACTTGGGGGCACTTAACCACTGAGCCACATCCCAGCCCTGTTTTGCATTTTATTTAGAGACAAGGTCTCACTGAGTTGCTTAGCACTTTGCTTTTGCTAGGGCTGGCTTTGAACTCATGATCCTCCTATCTCAGCCTCCTGAGCTACTGGGATTACAGGAGTACACCACAGCGCCCTACTTAGTTTCCTGTTTTTAATTGATGCATTATAATTATACACAGTAGTGGGATTCATTTTGCTATATTCATATGGGTATATAACAATTTGATCAATCTCATTCCTCAGTAATTCTGCTTACCTTCTCTCCCTTTGATCTTCTTGCCTTTACTCTACTCGTCTCCCAAATATAATTAGTGCATTATAATTGTATATGAAAGTGGGATCATTATGGTATGTTTATACATAGACATAGCATAATTTAGTTGATTTTTTTTCCCCAGTACTTTCCCATGTCTATCCCCATCTCTTCTCAGTCCCCTTCCTGTTGCTCCCTTTGCTCTATTCTATTATCATGAGATCCCTTTTTATTCCTTTTTTTTTCCTCCCTCTTGTTTCCACATATGAGAGAAAACATTCAATCCTTGACTTTCTGAGTCTGGCTTATTTCACTTAGCATGATGGAATACGTTTCTTTTTATTAGTAGTAAACACAATGGTACCACCTTACCAGGTTCAATATTTTATGATTCTGGATAGAAGATTTAGAGAAGACACAGAGAAGAATAATAGAACAAGTGATTAAACTTCTGGAAATAGTTTTACAATATCCAAGTTTTAATGTATTCTCTACCCAAGCTTTGGTACACCCATGTAATTCTAGTAATTTTGGAGGCCAAGGTAGAAGGATTGCAAATTTGAGGCCAACCTTGGCAACTGAGCAAAACCCTGTCTCAAAATAAAAAATATAAAGGATTGATAGACTGCCCTGGGTTCAAGCCCCAGTTACAAACAAAATGGTATTCTTTAATCCTGTTAAAGAAAGCCATAGAACAGGTCATACACCTTGCTTTGCTTTACAGTATTTTATGTCTGTCCGTATTTAATATTATAACTTTGATCTTTTACCTTTTAGCCAGAATACAAGATTGCTGATCCCATCTGTACATATGTGTTTTCATTACTTGTGGCTTTCACAACATTTCGCATCATCTGGGATACAGTAGTTATAATACTGGAAGGTAAGATCTAAAATCTTCACTGTGGGTTTATTCCTTCCCTAACAGATTGGGAATCAGAGGGACACTCTGGGTTAGAGGTATGACTTTTGCACATTACTAATACTTATTAGACTACATACATCAGCTTTTGTGTATAGCATATAAGGATCAATGCATTCTCCCATCTGTTACCCATTTTACCCTTATAATATCCAAGCAAAGTTGGTAAGGCATACAGTGGAGTAAGTTATCCCCATTTGCAATCAAGAAAATGAGATTTAGAGGAATAACTTAACATAGTTAAGGTTATGCTGCTAATAAACTGTAGATTAGGACAAGAATGTAACTTTTGATTCTTTAATATTTTTAGTTGTCAAGGGACCTTTTTTTTTTTTTTAAATACAGTGCTGAGAATCGAACCTAGTGCCTCACACATGCTAGGCAAGCGCTTGACCACTGAGCCACAACTCCAGCCCTGATTTTTGATTCTTGATGTGATTATGGATAGTAATTTAGTTAATTCCTTAATTTCCATTTAACTCATGACTGACTTTGTTGGGTTTATAATATTCTTGCCTTACTGAGAATGTATAATCATGAAACTAAAAGTTCTCATCAGTAAGCTTATCATTATCAAATATTCAACCTCCCTTTCTTTGTCTATCCTAGCTTATCTATTAAACTAAGTATTCTGGTTTGATTGACATTCTTTTTTAGTGAGAATGAGCATTTTTAAAGTAATGTTAACCTCTCGTGTATTTCCTTTATCTTTTGTAAAATGTATTTATAGTTTATCTTAAAGCATTAACATATTAAAATACATTTTAATACTTTAAAAGATACTTGTTTAAATTGATTTGGCAAGCCATTTTTTAATATAATGTAAAAGTTGTTTTTTTCTTTCCAAAGTAAATTTTACTATTAAATTATATATTCTGAATTTATAATTTAGGGGTACCAAGCCATTTGAATGTAGATTATATCAAAGAAGCCTTGATGAAAATAGAAGATGTATATTCTGTGGAAGATTTGAATATCTGGTCTCTGACTTCAGGAAAATCCACTGCCATCGTTCACATGCAGCTAAGTATGTTGCTAATGTAAATGTGGGTCTGCCTGGGGTTAATGTACTTCTATCTTTGGAATTAAACATCTGAGCTTATAATTAAGAAGCCTTTTCTGATGAAAAGATTGAAGGGAGGAGTGAGTCTCTCTTCAAATGGTTAAGTTGCAGGTCAATATTGATGGCGGAAAAAGAATTTTTCTCTTTTTTTCCCCCCCAGTTCTGATTCCTCTTATAAATTTTTTTTCCTTTAAGATAAGACATCATATATTGATTGGTCTTTACCTTCAGATCATAGGTGTTAAGTATATTTACCATGCTTTTTTCTTTTTTCTAGAAAAGCTAGGTTCTTGTGTTTTTTATGTGTCTTTTCACAGTTGATGCTTTTAATTTTGTATCAAAATAATACATGCATGTGGTTTATTTTTTTAAGTATCTTTTAATGTCAAGCTTATAACTGATATCTGATATTCTTTTTCTACCTGAGAATGGACTGAAGAGATTGGAATAATAAGAAGCCATTCGGGATATGCAAACTGACTTAATTCTTTAACAGAATAGTTTAGTGTGGTAAAACTAAAACTAGTAAAAATTTCTTAATGTTGTTTTTTTCCCCATATATTATTCATTAATGTATAACTATGTACAATGAATAGTAATAATATTTTCTTGACATTGCAGTTCCTGGAAGTTCATCTAAATGGGAGGAAGTACAATCCAAAGCAAAGCATTTATTATTGAACACATTTGGCATGTATAAATGTACTATTCAGCTTCAGAGTTACAGACAAGAAGTAAACAGAACTTGTGCAGATTGTCAGAATTCCAGTCCCTGATTTTTTGTGTTTTGGGGTTTACTGCCTTATTTATCCTGCAGTCACAGACTTGAGAGCAATAAATGCAAACCTAAATGAGAAAATGGAATCCCTGACAGCTGTGTCCATATCAACCACCAGTCTCTCAAAACAATCACTCCAGCCTGACAATGGGAGTCTCTGTTTAATGGTAAAATGAGACTTCGCCGTGATTTTAGGATGAAGATGTTTCCCATATACTGTTTACAGAATGAGATGTAATTCTACAGATACCTCATAGAAGACAATCCAAGACCATACTTCATTAATTTGACAAAGTACACATCTTAAAGGAAGCATCAGAATCAGTATTTAAAATACTTTTTAAAGGCCACTTTATATCAAGCCAGTGCTAGCAAACTAAGTTGTTGTTTTGTTTGTTTTGTTTTTTATTATGTAATCTTGACATCCAGCTTCTGGAATTGCTGCTGTCTTTATACAGAAATTATTTCTCAACAGATTTCAGAAAGTACTACTAATTGTCCAGAATGGAATAAGCATGTATTCCTAAGTGTTTCAGAAACATTTTATTTCACAAATAAGTCTTAATGTTATTGTTATACTTTATAAACAACTTTTTCCAGATATTACCAGGCTTTGAATCTCAAAGTTAACATTTTTGATTATTTGTAATCTTATCAGAACCAAATCTTTACATATTGTGATCACTGTCATTAAATTACTTAGGAAATATTTTCAGTAGAATTCTGAATGGCAGAAATTAGTCTTAAACTCAGATTACCATATGATTATTTAAAACAAAGAAGCAAGAATGGGGTGTAGAGTTTCAGATTTACATCTTCCCAAAATCACTTTTTGGTTTTAGAATTGATATAAGGACAGCAAAAGACTGCAAAATCTAAGTAATGATTCTCTGCCTGTTTAAGGACTGTCAACATTTTATACAGTTTGCTTGGTAGCTTGGTTTCTGCCCTCATTCCAGGTTATCTGTATTGTCCTTTCAGGGTAACTGTAGAGGGCTGAAGTTCAGTTTGTGATGTCCTCTATGTAGATTAACTACTACTCCAGAGAGAATGTCTGCTTTATGACAGAGGTTAGAGATTCTCAATGGAATCCAGAAATTCCAAGATATAATTTTGAAGTTTTCTAATATCATACCAGAAAGGTTCAGAGGTTCAGGAGGAAGTACTACTTTAAGAAAACAAAAAGTAAAAGGTTTTTGACCTTATGTGTGTCTGTGTTTATTAAAACACTGGGATAGGGATGGGCGCTGAATCTGTGTTGTAAAGAGACAGCATAAACATTTCCAAACTGAAGACAGTGTAATTGGCAACAGATGTATTAAAGTGGCAGCTGTGAATATTCATGTTTCATTTTGTAGCCATTGGTTTTGAGATTATCTTTACTTACATTTGAAGTTCTTTTTCAAGGGGGACACTTTCTTATACTATAACCAAGTATAAGTATAATACTTATACTTGGTTATCTTATAACCAAAATAGTTATACTTCTTGGCTCCCCAGAAAATCAAAGTAACAATGTACTACGCAAGTTGTGAAGTAAAACTTTAAATAGGTGTACAGATGACTTATACTATAAATGAAGAACAGGAAATAAGAGTTCATTTTCATTAAACCTAAAATAAGACAACCTGTATTTACCTTAAAGATTGTTGGGAATTTATGGTATCATAAAAGGGTTGGTGATACCTAATAAAATTCAGTAGGTCTTATTGAATTGAACTGTTATGGCAATCCATTAGAAAACTTATTTGAGCTTCAAAAATTTTAGAAGAATATAAACTTTAAGTCAAAATACTCTCACATATAGAAGTAACCATAAATGAGAGCCATTTCAGTGGACACCTGGGAATTTATGGGATTTAGGTATCTAGAAAAGAAAAGAAACAATACACATTATATACTAATAATTTTCCCAAATCTGCAGAGCTTGTTTTTTGTAAATTTTCCTTTATCTTATATGGCTTTTCATATCAGTCTGTTCCCTAAAACATTATTTGATAAAACAGTCTAAAAATCCATTTGAGTATTGAAAAGGACCCTTTTGTAAAATGCAGACTTTTGTAAATTTTAATTACTGTGTTTTGCTTAAAGTAAGGTACACATGAAGTTTCCTGTGCTTTGTCTTTGTAAAAACTTTATTGGTTTCCTGTACTTTGTCTTTGTACAGACTTTGTATTGTACTTTACTTAGTCTGCAAGATTTGAGAATTGATAGATTTCACTTTTTGTAAGTTGACAAAACCCACAGTAGAGGACATTAACTTAGCTGTTGCGACCAAGGACTGCACAGCTTCTAACAAAGAGCTTTGGTTTGGTCTCTCCTTCACCTATTGAACTACAACCACACTGGTGGTTATGCTTCTCAGCTAAACTCTCAAAGAGCTCTCTGTTGCCCTGTGAAACACGGGCTGAGTTGAACAGACACATAGCATTAGTAATTTTGTGTTGGAAAAACGGATTACAAGGCAAAACAGATCACAATGTAACAACTTGGCAGTTCTTCACAGTTACATGTTCTAATTAATATTTGCAAGTAATCTGAGTTACTTGTGTATGTTGTGTATGTTAACCTGTGTTTCACAACTCTGGCCAGATGCAACCCTTTGATTTGTTTTAGGAAAAGACCTTTTGCTTCTCTAATGATCTTGCTGTTTTAAGAAATATAATGGGAGTGCAGTAGAAGAAGTCATATTTTAGAGGACTTTGATATGCAGAACTAGAAGCTGATGTGATTTCTACATACATTTCCATTAGCTATACCTTATGTAATATGAGCACAGATTTTTCACAACTATAGCTCCTGTCAGTATTGTATGCCAAATCACTGGATTTCTTATTTTACTGTTTGTTTTCAACTTTGGGTGCTTTATTTCCATTCTTTACAACTAAGTTTCTTGCTCTTATGAGTCTCAGTGTTCTCTCTCTTGAACCCAGGTGTATTTATTTTTCATAAAATCTTCTCAGACATGGTCAAGATCCAGTACTTCAGCTTCTCTCTCATTATAGTGTGATGAAAAACATTTTTTAGAGACAAGGCACTACTTAGACATGTGTTTCTAGGTGGGAAGGAATCTTTTTTTTTTTTTTTTTTTAGTAGCTGATTTTTACTGGTTCATAGAGCAAGTGTTATGGACAGACTACACCATACAACCAGCTGTGAAGATAATTGCCAACAAGACTCTGGGTTGTGTTTCTCAACCATCCACTCTCAACATAGAGATAATAATTTGATTCTGAAACAAGCACAGTTCAGCTAAACTTGTTTTCTTTTTTGCATTTGTATTAGTTTATCGTAATGAATGAAATGTTCTTACAGAATTGAATCTCTTTGAAATAAAGTTTTAGGCAATTTGCTCTTGATTGTCTTATATGTAGTAAATTTAAAGTTACAGGATGTGTCCCTAGGTATAAGATTGGTTCATTTGGTTCATTTTGTCTTTGAACCAAGCATAGTCATAAACGAACAGTAACAGCTCACTATATGCTTGTATGAAGGGGATGCTCAGGATAACTAAGGAAGCTTAATATCACTATAGCCAAAATACTGTTTCCAGACCCTAATTCCAGATCTATCATGTGAATCCTATCAAGCCAGGGCTTCAAATTGATTTATAGATTGCCAGTCAGGTATATTGTTTTTTTGTTGTTAGTGGGAGCATGCAAATTTGAAGAAATTGAGTGGGAGTTTTTCAGTGTTTAATTGTGTGAGTGCACTTAGACCAGCCAGTTTGAGTTCTCATCTGCCTACAAAGGGTTTTAGCTGCTCTTCCAGTCACATTGACAGGACCAACAAACATTTTCTAACTTTTGTTAAGGCTGCAAAACATTTATGGAGACTTTCCCAGGTAAATCTAAGACAGTGTCCATTTAAATAGTGCAATTCAGAATATTTTGAAATACAACACAAAATTGAAATTTGCCAGTATATCAGCTTTCCACCTGAAAGATACTGTACATTTGGAAAGTTTATGCTTCTCAAATCAATGTTATTTAATAAGCCATATCACGTTTTAAGAAATTGTATATACTTTTCCATACGCCCCTTCAGAAACCAGATATTTTGCATATGATTGATTTTAGAAAGATTTTGAAGCTGGGGTTTATTCGTGTAATTAAGATCAAAGTATATGTATATGTATATGTACTGTATTTGGAATTTTCAAATTGGAATTTCTTATACATTTATTAAATAAAGTGTTGTTTTGCCATGTGGTTTATTAAAAACTGAAAATATCCAGTCCCTTAAATTTGTGTTCTTTTCGTTAATTAATGTTTGTGGGCCTTAAAACATATTCTTAAAAGAAAAAACATTGGAAAATACATTTTATCTAATTTTATAATCTCAGAGTGCATTGCCCTCTTAAATTTTTAAGAAATAACCAACTGAGAGAAGTGATGGGAGGGAAGGGGAGGGGAGGGGAGGAGGGATAGGAAGGGCAGCAGAATACAACAGACACTAGTATGGCTGTAGGTATAAACGTGGCTGTATAACCAATGTGATCCTGCAATCTGTACACATGGAAAAATAAGAATTCATACCCCATTTGAATCAAATGTACGATATGTCAAGATCATTGTATTGTCTTGAGCAACTAATAAAAAAAAGAAAATTTAAGAAATAAACCCCCCAAAAAAGTCTTCCAGAGGATAAAAAGAGATTTTAAAAGAATCTTTTGCTTGCAGTTAGTCACTCGTAATGCCCTTCCAATCCCAGAAACATTGGCAGAAAGGAAGGGCAGAAGCCTCTGTGAAAATCCGAGTGGTTGAGGGCCTTCAAGAAGTCTGATCAGAGTAACAGTGTGGTCCAGGGGTAAGCAAACTCCCTCACAAGCCAAATCTTGTATGTAGCTTGTTTTGTGTGACCCAAAAGCTAAAAATGCTTTTTACATTTTTAAACTCTTTTGTAATATAGAGTAATATGTGAAAATTGTGTGAACTTTAAATAAATAATAACTCTAAGTCATAAAGTGTCATTGGAAATCAGCAAACTTGTCCAATTACATATAGTCCATGGCAGCTTTCATGTGACTGTGGCATAATTGAGTAGTTGTGACAATATAAAATATTTACTATTTGGAACTTTGTAGGGGAAAGTATGCTATCCCTTATGTAACATTTTAAGGCTAAAACACTATTTATGGATGCAGTAAACTCTTCTGGAACCCACTTGGAATTTTCTGTGACTGGTGAATATGAGGCCAGTTAAGTTACCAGAGGGTCTTTTCTTTCCTTGACCTTTTTTATTTTTTATCTCCCTTTGGGTTTGGGCAGAAATCATAGCAGATAAGTTGCATTGATAAATACTGACTTATTACAAATTATTTGATTATCTACTTCACTATTTCAATTTTGATGTGTCATTTTTTTGGTCTGTGTCAGATGTTAAATTCTAATTTGGGGTAACAGTTTTAGAAGTTATTATTTATGCTAGACTTTCAGCTTTAATATACTAGCAGACTATATAGAAGTCATTTTAACTATGTTTCCATTATAAATGCTATAAGCTGTGAAATAAGACTAAGCATAAATAGGAAGTGTGAAGCCTTATGACTAAATATAATCTCTATATGAGTCATGTGTTTTAAGATTAGGAGGTTAAAAATCCAGCCTCAGTGAAGTATCACCAAAGATATAACTTTCAAGCAACATTCTGGCTTAACAAGCAGATTCACGTGACTTTTACAGAACATTATAAACGGCAGAGTTTTGCCCATGGGTATTACCCAATAAACACAAAAATGATACTTTAGTTACCAAATAGTTTTCCTGTCTCCTGTCCTAGATTTTGCAGGCATTAGTTCTGATTTGATTTTTAAATTCTTGTTATCCGTGTTTCACTTGCCAGATTCTACATACTGTTTTTTCTTTTTTCTCCAAAATATATTGAGTTGTTTTTTGGTAAGATTGTGTGTGTGTGTGTGTGTGTGTGTGTTTAAGTAGGAAGTATTTAGAGACCTCTTAAAAGCAAGGGTAGCCCTAGAGAAAGGCAGACCACCTCTGCTCTCCAAACTTTTCTAGGATTTGCAGATCTGACCCCAGCCTATTCTTCCTTCTTTCCTATATTCCCTTTCTGGAAGAAACCTGCTAACAGCTTAATTGATGACAGGGATAATGGGCTCTGAACAGTAATCCGAGTGAATGTTTGGCCTCAGGGCATGAAGAAGGGCTTGGGTGAAGAAGGGCCTGACCTCCTATTCACTTATCTATAGTGTTCACCTATGAAGGCTGCAGCACTAGTTCCAACAGGACCTTATTTGGTTTACAGCTTGAATTGAATTTCAGCATTATTAGAACACAAGCCCATTTCATCCTCCCTTTGTTTCTTGATGTAAGAATATTTTCCAAAGCCCAGGATATTTTTTAAACCTAAAATAAAGTGTTATATAACATACAGTGCATTGACCATTGATATATATATTTGGTTCTAGAAGCATTTCTCTAAGATATGATACTAAAATTGGGATATCTCAAAAAGCAGGTTCACTTGGTTGGAAATGTTATTTTCTAAAGTGGATAGGGACTATTTCCAGATGTCATCCATTTTACAATCATTCAACTAACACTTAGTCTTTGAAGGCCACCTCCCTGCCACTGAACATACTATTAAATAGAACACAAAATAGCATGGGTTTTTTAGAGTTAAACAGGAAATAACACTATGTCTTTGGAGGCATTTGGGGCCATACCCTCAACCCTATAGATAAAAGATTACATTTTCTCCTATTAGGGATGACTTCAGAAACTAACTTGTAGGAAAAAGAGTCCATTCTCTTGATAATGATGTATAAGGTCCTAATCTCGTCTCTGCTTGCCCTACCACCCAGAGGCTACATTCTCTCTCCATCACAATATCCTGTCTCCCATGTGTCATCCATGCAAAACTATAATGAGCTTTTAGAAATCATTGTTAGCATTTATTAAGCCTTTTCTGTATTCTAGACTCTGTGCTGTATACTTTTTTTTTTTTAACCCTCATGACAGTACTGCAAAGAACATTATAATCCTCACTAGGAGATGTTAGATGAATTTCCAAAGTCATATAAATAGAATTGTAATGCAGGAACAGAAGGCCACATATAACTTTTAAATATAATTAGTAATGTAATTTGGGGCCCAGTAGAGACTCATATAGTTAAAATCACAACCAAGTTTTAGAAAACATGTATAAAAGTAATGGAAGGTAGTAATTTAGGAGCACTCAACTTTACAGAATTACATGCATGTTTGGGGGGGGGAAGGAAAGAGCAAACAAAAGTTTACTGTTTCTTGAGTTTTAGGTAGGGTCCACCAGAATAGTATCAAGTCAGGTCCTAGTGTCCCTTTCTCTCTTCATTCAGCCTTCACAACCAAACTACAGGGGTGGGCTCCCCCAAGCCTTTCCTCTGAAGCTGCCTGCCCACTGCAGGCTGCCCAGATGTTGCAACCACACTGGTCTTGTCTGTGATGAGGAGGAGCAGTTTGATGTTACAAATCCACTCACTGGTTATAGCAGTCCCCCAAATCTTAAATCAATGCACACATAGTTTTGGGAAAGGGAAGGGAAGATATCAAGAAGATGGGGCTGTACCTAAAATTGGGCCATCCCCTAGACAGGGTAGAGACAAAAAGAAACAACTCAGAAATGCTGCATAAAGAATGTGAACCCATAGGACACAAAGCAAAAAAGCATAATCCTCTGGTAATTCACAGAAATGTCCAGGAAGGTATCACACTTCCCACGAGTCACAGAATTAGAGGTTAAAGTTGATTTCATCTTGGTTGGGGAGTGGGTAAGATCCAGTTGATATCTGTGTTAGTTATAAGATAGCTCCAAACCACATAGATGTTTTCCTTATGAGATAGCACACAATGGTACAGACTTGGAAAAAGCCTTGGTTCCACCCTGACACTCTTTCCCAGTGAGACTTTAAAAATGTTACTGAACTTCCCTGTGCTTCAGTTTCTCCACCTAAAAATGGGAACAATAATTGTCCCTTCCTAATATAACTTTTAAAAGGATTAAAATTTACTATATAAGGTGAAGTGCTGAGAATACACAAAACTCAAATGTCATTACTACAAATTTTTTTTTTCTGAAAAGCACTCAGTATTTTTTCACTTGACTATTTGAGCATTGCCAGATGTGCAGCTCCCAGAACAAGACAAATATTTTTATCTTGTTTCTTTGCCCCCTTCTTTACCTGGAGGATCCTCCCCTATATTCTTTTTTTTTTTTTTTTTTTTTTTGGAGCCATTTATTGTAGGACAACAGAGCTATTTATACATTTTGCACAGCTTATCTTAATTAGCATAAACTCGATACATCAGTCAACCAATAAGGAATCTCCA